CCCCTCCTTTTTATTTAGGTACAATTTCTTTGAATATAGCATATCATGCTGGCAAAATTCATGCAGATGACATAGCATGAAGCATAGCAGAGCTTAAAATCATCTGTTTAAAAAAATAATAATAACTAAAAAAAAAGGACAAGGAATGTAGTGTTAAAAATCATGATAGTGAAAAAGCAACTAACCAGTCTCACCGACAACCAAGACAATTTCAAGTGTTCTCTCACAGTTGTCTCATCTACTAAGATTTGTTTAAATATGTCTTTTTTAATCCAAATTCACTTAATTCTCTTCAACTTTTTCCACCAGGGAGAAGTAAAAAAATAAAAGGTTAATTATTAAAACTAGTCTCTTTTCCCTTTTAATCAAAATAACCATTTTCCAGCCCTCTGACTGTACATTTAATTTTAATAATGATTTCAAATAGAGAAACTTATGAATCTGACATGTTTGACATCTCCTGATGCCATGACATTTAAAACACTCATAACAACACCTGGGTTAAATCTCTGAAAATATAAATGGTTCTTGAATCAACTTCACGATTTGAAAAAGGCCACATCTTTAAACCTTCAGAACATTTTCACACAAATTATAATCCTAAGGGAAGCTTAGAATTATTGAGCAAGCAAATGAGCCTCCTGATGATTCTCTCTCATAGGCAACTGTGCAGCTTAAAAAGCCTCCTTCCGAGGAAGCCATCGTCACTAATCCCTTCCCCTGGCCATATAAAACACAAAGCCAACCAGTTTTAGAAGCCTTTTTAATCTTGCACTTTGAGCCTCAAAGGATCACCATATTGAAGAAACATTTTCCAGAAATGTCTCTCTTGACAGTTTTATGCATGTTATTCCTCGATGCGCCCCCCCTTTATAACAGTTTCACTGACTAAAGAAATAATCTGTTTTTCAAATAGACTTTTCAGTAAAGTGCTTGTTATTACTCAAAAATTAAAAAAAAAAAAAAAGAGAAAGTGCTATTTCAGTCTTAAAAGAATTTTTTTCTGTGAAAAACTGCCTGATATAGCTTTATCTTATTCTTTTTTACGTAAAGCTGAAATGAAACCTATCTCTTGTAAGGATACTGGGTTACTAATTTTGGTGTTTGGCAGTAGGCAGATGCCCACAGAAGGTGGTGACACACTGGAACTGTAGTGCAGAAGGCAAACCTTCTAGATGAAATGGAAGGCATATGGAGAGCTCCTACTAGAATCCTTTCATATTTATATACAAATATAATATATATTAAATATAATATAAAAATAGCTATATTCTTTTTCTCTGAAGCTATCCCAGAAGCTTTTCTTCAAATCCTCAGCCATCACAAGCAGACGATGCCTGTCTCCTCAACTCCACGCAACTATGCCACCTCTTTCACTCCATTAGGTATCACCAGCCCATTTCTTCATAAATACAATCCTCTCCTTAACACACTCCTTCCCTTCTGACAGAGTCATTCTGCAACGTTTATACTCCAGAACCTGCAGCATCACAGCATTCGTTATCGCGCTATTTGTTAGGATGTTGCAAATAAGTCTATGACTCTAGTAAATGAGTCAGGCAGAAGCAAAAGGCTGATTAAGGAGGCAATAGCCTGGTCCTCTTCCCACTAAAAATCAAGGACAGTTCAGCAATTGATTCAGCAACAGGGGAAGCTGCAGACCCTTTAAAAATACACTTTTTAGTCACTAGCTGTGAAACAAAGCATCTGCATCCTTGCACAGAATCTGGACCAAGTTCTACACACTCGCTTTTGTAAAAGGTTTGCCTGATTCGCGGCAGGAATTTTTCAAATGAGTGCCATATTTTTCCAGTTCCTTTGAATTTCTCCATCTTCTATAATGTCTCTAATAGCTGGTAGTTCTGTAATTGAATGACCTCTCTCTGAGGTTACAAAAAGCTTCTTGATCAAAGCATACATTTCTATAGTTCTCTTTCAGCAGCCACGCTATTGTCATCATCTAAATTTCTCTCACCTAGTTTAGCCTTTGTACTGAGGGACCTATAGCAGCACACCAGAGTACGTGGGAAGGGGGAAATGGGAAGAGAAGTTTAAATGAAGCTTTATATAAAAAGCTGCATCATTAACCATCTGACTGGTATCTCTAGTTACTGTAATTCTCAGTATAATAGCTTAATAAACCTATTTTACCACAATCCAATAGTTCTAACAGCAGTATTAAAGCTCTCCCAGTTTTCTTTTTTAGTGCTATATTATTGCAATTGGTTAAAAAAAAAAAATCTAACCTATTTTCCATTAAGCAAAAGTACTGATAGCACAGACCTCTAGTCAATGCAGCTTAGTTTAGAAACAGGTGGAATGGCATGGTAGGGACAGTAGAGCAAGGCAGGATTTCCTTACCTAGAACTTTACAGAAACAGGTTTCTGAAATTATTCCAGCCCAGAGAATGCCAGATATCCCTTTAAAGAAGGGGAAGTGTTCCTTGCTATGTTTGGTATTGGCATCTGTTCCTTGCTCCAGGGTGCAAAAGGCTTCTCGGAGCAGAAAGCAATCTGATTCTCTTTGGTACTGTATTTCTTACACTCTCCTTCCTTGTTCACTGCTGTGCTTTTTGGTGCCAAACTCTTGCTTTGTAACTGGGGAATAACAAAGACCTAATGGTGAGACACATGCAGAGGCAAAGGCTAGCCTCAAAACGTAACCAACTGATCAAATGCTTGGCTAAACTGCTATTACCTTCCTGCAGGTTTGGTTCATCCAGTAATACAATCAAACTGTTTCATAGTACAAAATAGTCCATCACCATTTGGTTACATTCATTCAACTCCTCCTCAGAATTCAAGATTAATCCAGCTTTCTCTCCCTAGTACTAATTTTAACTGCTTTTACTGTTTTTGTTTTTATTTATCAGATCTATCAGCATTTATTAATTTTCCTCTGAAGTTCTGATTTTCACGCACTAGTACCATAAAAACCTACTGAACATTTACTTAAAATAGCACATCATCTGTTGGAACTTTTTATTTTCTTTATAAAGTGAAGTTGCCTTCTGAAGTCTTAGTTCAGTGATATCTCTTAAGTCAATAGCGTGGTAGTGTTAAATGCAATCATGATCTCCCCCAACACACACTTTAAACACTATGAAAAATGATTTAAAAAAAAATCATCAGCTTACTATTTCTCCTCCTGCAAAAGGAGTAACCTATACTTTTAGATTTTTTGATCTTTTAAAAGTATTACCTTCAAGGTCTGAGATTTTAGAGACTCCTCTGTTTCTGGCTAGTGTTTGAGGGGGAGCACCACTCAAAAATGCTCATGTTCTCAACTCAGACCATTATTAAAATCAACACAATACAGAAACAGCTATGAAGTAGATACACAAGTTTGGCTGACAATGTACTAAGACTTCAAAATTGAAAATGGTTACAGATTCAAGACATTGTAATTCAAGATGTTCAACATTATTACCTGAATTAAAATCAAGGCACTATGGGTTTTGTTGTTGTTGTTAAAATGACCCTGAATTAGTTCTGACTAATTTCTGAAGGAGAATAAAAAGATTCCAACATATTTTAACAAGTTACAATTCTCACCACAGAGAAAGTGGTTAAAAAGTGCCCAAAAGGTTATTAAATGTAAATATATTTTTGTGCAAATTATTCCTATAACTGAAACATTCTTGAAAATTACTGTCATTTTTTTAAACCTTTTACATAAATATTTCCAACTATGAACTATATCAAAAGATAGCTTTGGGGAATAAAATTCCAAACCATCCACAAGAAAGCAGTGCAAATTCCTATTTTTCAAATAAAATTATGAATTAATTATGAAATGATGGATGATGTTCATGAATCTGAATGTCCTGAACCCTGATGCATGATCACCAGTTCAAACAGCTTCATCAATAATTTAACCTCGAAAAGTCAACTAACCAACACACTATAACCTCACCGAACAAACCCTGACATCACAGACAAAGCACAAACAAGAGACTTGTGCCCACACTGAGGGTGAAAATAATGATGCATCATGTTGTAAACAAAAGGGTAGAGCAGAGGAAAACATTAGTCTGAGTATGGCGTGAGAATTTAGGGAAACATATTCAAACCTACAAATAACGTATTACGTTTTCATGCATCATATAAAATATTTTGCTCTTTCTCCTTTTATGCAGACATATACACAATATTTTACAGCATCTGTACAACAGAGAACTGGATTTCACACAACATTTTCAAAATATTTACTGTCCCATAATAATCTGAAAAAAATTAGATGGTTTTTGGGCTATATTCCTGGCATTTTTTTCTGCTAATTCAAACAATTGCTTCATGTCCATTTTAATACTTTAAAAATGTACAGGATTAATAAAAATACCACTATTTTCAGCATTCCTCTCATTTCAGTCGCATTTTGAGATTTCACCTGGACAAATTAACACATGGCAGCAAATCTTTTAGAACACAGAAACTGGGGCAACTATCAAAGTTGGACATGTCCCCATCATCACCTTGTGGCTTTTCTTAACAGATTCCAGAAGTTAGATCTCAACACCGTGGGTTAGAAAGAAACCCTTCGTACTGCTACCCCTGTAGCAACTGTTTTGTGGAGCAGCCCCCTCCTGCGATACTTTGCTTCAAAAAGAGGCAGAGCCCCACACTACTGTGGCTGAACTTTGGAAGGATCAGTCATCTTGTCAGTTCTGTGTCGTGAAAGTTGCTGCTGCTGCTGCTGTGACTGATGCTGCTGGTGATGGGACTGAGTAAAAGTGCTTTGTTGTAGTGGGAAAGCAGCAGAGAGGATAAGCTGAGCTGACTGATTTCCATGAAGTAACCTGGATGTCTAAAACATGCAAATAGAAAAAGATTATTTTTCCTGCTGCCCTGAGAAACGCAGGCCTAGCTGCTTTTTAACTTTTCACAAGGGTCCAATCAAAATAAACTTCTGATTTGGTCATCTAAGCTGATCAAACAATGCAAAGATTAGTTCATACTAATGAAGTTAATTAGAGCATCTGACCAATTAGTAAAGCAGCTGTAACCGGTCTTTGTAATTTCCCGTGACAATGGGTAGAAACACATGGCAATTTGTCTCCATTTCAAACCACAAGAGCATAACAGGGCTTAAGGAATCTGTCTGAACAAGTGCAGGTGGCTGTCATTGCAGTAAATAAAACAACAGTGCATGACTTGGCACAGATCACATGTATCTCCCACAGCCAAAATAAACAGTCAAAGAAACTGCTGCATCTGCAGGCCCAGACATCCCCTTTGAAGGGGACTGATCACTATTGGAAATAGTACTTGGTTTGTAATATTAATTTTCTCAGAACCCAGAGATGGTGGTTCCTGAAGAGAAGCAATGAAGGATGGGTACAAATGCACTCAGACATCTCAATCCAGAGACATGTTCTGCAGCAGAAAGTAAACTACATCGCTTACTGCACCCAAAGCATCAGGCTGTAAGAAGCCGCAGCAAGCAGAAGCAGGAAAAGCACTGCTCCTTTTCTCCATTTTAAAGAGCACTTGCTTCACTTTGAATTCTAGCACTTTAATAGTTTGCATTAAAAATACTAAAATATAGTACTAAAAATACAGGAACAGACCTTTGGAGATCTTAATTTTCACGGATAATCTCTTTTTCTCCAGAATTAAGTCAAAATTGTACAAACTTTTTAATATCGAAACAGAGCTACAGACACTACCAACCTGCTAAACAGCATTGTTGTCACAGTATTTATCTGAGTTGTCAGAGAACACATTCAAATCTGCTCTCTGGTTTGATTCAGTTCAAAAATCTCCCACTACACAAATGAGTGCTGAAATTCAAATCACTAAGTATTCCTCAGCTCACTTCTTGAGAGTCAACTTGCAGCTGAAAAGCCTTTGCCCGATGCATGAATGAAATTAGTACATTTCCATTAAAGAATTTTTCAATTTTTCAAAATATTAGTCAATATTTTCTGTCAGTGACCTAGTGAAAGAAAATTTTACTCAGCCCCAAACAGAACCATAACCATTCTTTGTGCATATAAAAGTAGGTTAAGCCTCCAATTACTTGCTGCATTTGTATATATTCCACCTATGCACAGGATCCCTCATTTAGTGCAAATGGGAGACCACACACAGTAAGAAAGAAGAAATACTTGCAAAACAAGGATTTTTAATTTTCTATACTCTTAAAGAGTAAAAAAAAAAATGACATCCCTAGAGTAGTTAAAGAATGTTAAGAAAGTGCACAAACTACATTGTGACAGTTACATGGGCTTTATCTTTCTTTGGAGAAGGCAATATGAGAGGCCAAATTAATTAATTTTAACCCACGCCACCTTGGAGGCACTTTCTCTCTAGTGTTCTCCCTCACCAATATCACCTGCCGGGTGAGCGATGTGCCCACGATTAACTGGAATTAAAAAATGGCAACAGATTTCCCCATCAATTCTTTCTACCTTCTGGTTCTTTTCTTTTTGTAGGCATTTCCTATCTGTCTCTAAACTCCTTGGGTTTTGCCTTCCTTCTGTTTTGATCCAGTCTCTCTTTTTCTCCACTAAAACAAGGTTCTTCTCCACTCTGCTTACAAGGTTACTTGCTGCTCAGCCTCCCCTGCAGCCTAGACAGATGTTCATGCCTCATGTTACGGGGCCATGTCTTGCTTTGGGTTGCATGCTGCTTTCCAGAACAACCAATTCTGTTTGAGACTCTCTCTCATACCTTCTTGCATTAATATGTGAATGCAAAGAAAATGCAAGCTGTTTCAAAGGGAAACATCTGTGTCTTCGTCCCATGCTCAATCAAGAGCAACAATTCAAAGGGAAGAAGATATAAAACAGGACAAAGCACAGAGTGAAATTGCAGGAAAGACTACTGCTCCTTTAAATAGTAAGATTTTAGAGAATGGCTACAGAATAAACTTACCTCAGGCTTGTTCACAGGTTGCTATTTTAAGTGCTGTTTCCAAATAAAGCACCCCTAGGATAAGCTAGCAACTGAAAGCGTCAGGACTTTCAACAATTATTAGAGAATGCTGCATTACCTGTAGGAACTGTTGGGGGTGTTGGGTCAGCTGTGGCTGAGCTGGTTGCTGAACTGTGGTGAGCTGCTGCTGCTGGTCTTGCTGACTTTGCTGCTGCTGCTGCTGTTGCGTAATTGACAAAGTCTGTGGCTGCTGCTGTTGGGCAGCAAAAGTGGGGTAAGCTGTCACCACCTGTCCCATAAACATAGTGCTTGGTACCATTACTGCTCCACATGCTACTGGGGCCGTGACAAGTTTTGTTACCAGTTGCTGACCTTGAGAAAATCTGTTAATGGAAAAAGACATTTGGAGTCCCTTTAGGTAAAAAAAAAATTAAAAATCAAGCACCACGTGCGCTTGAGAAACGCAGATTTGTCAGGTTCATACTTTGCTATAACAACACGGGCTTTGATAAGCCTGCAAACACGTTATTTTGGGCAAAGTTAGGTTTAACAGTTGTATCCATATATAGTTAACACAATAAATCATGCAATTTTTTAATGCTACTTTAGCCCCTTTTGTATATGATGTAGCTATGTAAGCTTGTCATTACAGCAAGTCATCTGAGTATTGGTCTTGAAGATTTACCTGATTTGTCTGTCCTGTGTAAAAGTGGTTACGGCAGCAGCATTCTGGTTATTGTTCTGTGGTAAGCTAGAAGGAACCTGGACCACATTTCCTGTTGTTGGCTGAGAAATCACCATGGTGTTATACAAAGGTGCTGAGACTGTATTCTGTGACTGGCTGGCAAGAGAAGACTGTTGACTGTGTCCACTAAGTACATTTTGTTGATTATGCTGAAAAGAAAAAACATTCTATGAGATAGTAATTTGAAAATATCAAGGTACTACAGCTGTCTTCCTCACTGTCATTGCCCATACTTCACAACTACTAGTGTTTTACTATGACAAATAAATTCTTAATTTAAAAGTCCACTTCTACCAACTGAGGATTTAGAGGTGGAACTGACCCTCAGGCATCTGAAAATCTGTTAGATTAACCTTTTCCCCCGCCTTGGGTTATTTTTGTCCTGATTTTTTTCAGCTGCTTGCATACTGTTTGTTCAAGATCCTATTTTCCACTTCTTTAGCATCTCTGTGACAGACAGACTAATATGTGCACATCACGTCAACCAACTTCTTACTTAAAAGTTTGGAACTAGCTTATTGCCGAGAAGATAACACTGTCCATCACTAGCCTGCCTCTTCAAATCTCAAAAAGAAAGTTTGGAATTTGGGTAAAGGTACAGAGGAGGGTGACCACAGAGATGAGAGCTATAAAGAGCCTCCATACACAAAATGGTCAAACCCATTAGAAGAGTTTGGCCTGAAGAACAGGCTTCTTGGAGGTACATGTGAGAGAGGACTTTGAAATCATGTATGACTGAGAAGATGAAAAGTGAACAGCTGCTCAATGTCCTTCCCAGTTTATGAGCTGGGTAGCAGGTTTAAAAAACAATCGTATTTCACAGAAGTTAAAGCTGTAGAACTCACTATGAGATACTGTGGATTTCAAAGTTTACATGGAATGAAAATAAACTGAAATTCATAGAAGAAAAAGCCTATTACATTAGAGATGTCATACACCTATGGCATCTGACTGAAACTGCTGAAGAGTAGAAAAGTCAACTGCAGAAGCACCAATATATGCTTGTCCTGTTCCTACGTTTTTCTAGTTTTTTGCTGTTTGGACATTAGGTTTCAAGCTCACCTACTACAAATCTCATGTAATGTGTTCTGTCAACAGAAAATTCACAGACATTTAAAAAATGGCAAGCTAAAAGTTTTCTGGATACTGGTCTTTCAAAAAAACTACTTGTTATTAACTATTTACATGCCTAAAGTAAGATCTGAAATTGCATTATCAAGAACATAAATGCATTTCAATTGTAAAACTTCAAACATTAAGAAATTAATACAACTCAAAGGACATTGTTCAAAAAAAAATTTGGGAGGGGGATGTCAGGGAAGCTATTGTTGTGTTTCAGCTGATTTTCAGCATATATTCTATTCAGCATAATCAATAATGAGAATTTTACCTGTGTTGTGGTACTTGGCAAAGGCTGTTGCTGTATCATTTGTGGAGTACTTATATGGCCTGTGTTCATCCCACTTTGGGTCTGATTAGTCTGAACAACTTGACCTTGCATGTTTATTGGTGTCAGCTGCTGAGCATTTGAAGAATTTCCAGAAGCAAGCTGCAGAGAACCAAAGTTGAGTCCAGAAGTTGACTGCTGCAAGAACATCTTAAAAAAAACAAATCCACAAGTTAGCTTTTAAGAAAAATCTGTTAATTGTTCAAGATGTTTCAAAGAAACTAAACTTAATTATTTTACATCAATATAAGATAAAGTTTCATCTTAGTTATTAGAAGTGTTGAAAGAGCATTGCAACCACCAAGAGCAAAAGGCCCAACTCCCATACAGGGTCAGTATTCAAAGACTCTGCTGTAACTTATGAGAATCAGAATCCTGGTTTCTAGAGACCTAAACATTAAGGTTTAATATTTTTTCTTAAAGTACTATTTAGAGACTAACTTGTAATGTAGTCTACAACTGTCTAAAGATAAAATGTGTTTGAGATCACATTTCTATTTGTAAGATCTCCAGAGGCAAAACTAATTCAAATGAAGAAAATCTCAGAATGAGAAGATCCAAGCACAGCACCAAGAACGTAACCTTCTTTGGCAATCAAGAAACGTAATGATTATACTGAACTTTCCAGCATTGTTGTAGTAAACTGAATTCAGCACAAAAATGATTGAGTCTTTACAAAAAGTTAGGCTGAAGACTACAAGACAGGGTAATAAGGTAGAATGTGCAGCACTTAGATTTTCCCTAGTTTCCACAGTCCTGAAGAAGGTCCCTCCATGGTGCATGGGAAGAGAGTTGTGAATCTCTCCTTTTGAGGCATCTATAAGGCAGTCTACTGCTGGCAGGCTTACGCTAGACATGATAAAACACTGAAAAAGGCACATGCCAGGAACTCCTATTCTTCAACAGAATTTAAGCAACACACTCAGTACGTCCAGGAAGTATTTTTTTCTACCCTTTAGTCACAATTCACATTGAAAATACATACATTATTTCCTTAAGCTGTAGTTTAGTTTGGTTTGGGGTTTTTTTTGTGGTTTTCTGTTTGTTGGGGTTTTTTTGTTGTTATTTTTTTAACTAGAAAAATCCAATAGGGTAATTCTTTTTTCCCAAAGATAGTTGCAGAAAACAGAATGACAAAATTAGAAAAAAATATACTGGTTAAAATACAGAAATCAGGTAGCCAGCTGCTAGACTGAGTAATGCATCCTCTAGATGTCTTGTATTTCTGGCTCAGTAATGACTTCAGGATACCATGCAAAGGAGAACCACTTCACCAGGAGGGTGTGTAGGAGGACCACAGCCTGATAGTTAGGGCAGTTTAAGAAACAAAAGGTATGAATTTGACACTCTCGAGCTAAAAGAGGAAATCAATGCTTATCTTGCACATTTTGGATTAATATTCTAATGGCTGCAAAACTTTGCAAGAAGTAACAACTACTACATCCTTTCACATTTAGGTTTAGGCATAAGCTAGGCTTGAGCTGCCTGACATTGAAAAGCCACACTGGGGCGCTTCCAGATACATTCAGAAGCAAAATGGCAGGTACCTCAGGAACAGTCGCTTCAGATGATGTGATTTTAGGCACATTAGGTCCAGATAGCAGCTGGCAGGCAGTAGGGAGGATCACCTTGTGGAATTAAGTGCTCAAGTCTTATTTTAGATGCCTAAATTCTGTACAGATCAAACCTGCAAGAGTTACACTAACTCACCTGGAGCCCTTGACCATGGACAATTTGAAGCTGCTCTTGAATCTTACGCAACTCTTCCTGCTGTCGATGAATATTTGCCTCTATCATGCGTGTTCTTTGCTCTAGCTGGTCCTTTAGATGCTGCATAGCTCCTAATTGAGCTGAAAACTGAAACACAGGCTATAATGCAATTAATTAAAAACTGAGCAAAAATAATGACATTTTATTGACAAGCAGTAAATACACTCCTTCAGAGTAGCAAAGAAATCAAGCCCTGCTTTTTAAACTAATAACCATAATCTGGGGACAAATTTATTAGCATGAAAATGTCACAGAACTCACATTTAACTGCATCAGAATTTGTGAACTAAAAAAAAAAAATCCATAGCACAAGAAACTGACTGGTGTCCAAATCACCAAGACTCTATAAAATGCCTTAGTCATTTACATGGTACTGCAGATGTTAAAGCTCTCTCAGGTTAAAAATTAGGAAGAATTACTTTACTGTGAGGGTGACTGAGCAGTGGAACAGGCTGCCCAGAGAGGTTGTGGAATCTCCCTCTCTGAAGATATTCAAAACTGGCCTGGACAAAATCCTGGTTCATGTGCTCTAGGAGCCCCTGCCTGAGCAGGGTGGTTGGACCAGATGACCTTCAGAGGTCCCTTCCAACCTCAACCATTCTGTGATTCTGTGATTGCACCAGTTTACAAAAAAAAAAAATTATGCAGAGCTAAAAGACATGCAATTAACTTGGGAACACCCTCAGTCACAAACTGTTGAAGGCTGAGCCCACAGAGAAACTATGCTTGCCACTTCTATTCTTCCCTAGACAACTGCTACATGCCACAAGTCGATATAAGCTTTTGCTACTTACATCCTATCTACAGGACATAGATCTTTGGTTGGACTCGATACCACTGTTCCTACTTCACAAAAGTGTTTCACAGACCAAGTTGCCTTGTGTTACAAGCATTATGTGCAGAAAGTTACCAGCATAGTTGATGGATTTTTAAATTCATATCCTAAAATATTTTATCTTAAATTGTGTTTGTATCCATGTTTCTAACAGCCAAGGCTGAAAACTATATCCACATAAGTAACAGGAAGAAAAAAATAAAGGATAAGTGTCAAATTGGGGAATTTTCTCATTTCAAGAGAATAATGTTAAAGGTGACCTTGGCACCAAAGAACTCAATTTCTGAAAGAGAAATTAACCTTATATTCAGAACAAGACTGTATGAAAAATAATAAACAATTAAGCAACTTAATCCATACCTGGGACATGCCAGACTGGAGCTGTAAAGTTGCAGGCTGAGACATCGATGGCTGTGCTACAGGTTGTCCAAGAGACTGGGAGCTTAAAGACTAGAATTTAAAAAAATGTTCCGTAACTGGAGGAGAATGAACTTCATACTTGACATGAAGTATTTCTTTACATAAAGTGTCAATTCCAAAATAGGATCATATGAACATATGATAAAAAACAAAGAAATGTTTCCTGAAATATGTAACTTTAAATATTAGTGAATTAAGAATACAAGAGCAATTTATTATATACATAATATATATATAAAATTTTTTCACTGCTGAAATATATATAACAGCAGTAGATATAAAACAGGAAAATCAGAAATTACAATTAGAACTGGTTTTAAGTCTTATTTGTAGTAAGGGAAAAACTTTTTCAAGAAGTTTGGAAGTTCACTCCTTTGATTTATTCTTAAACTATTCATTTTTAAAAATGCGTATTTTCATAAGCATAGTATTTTTGAAGTGCATGTATTAGTTCAAGTGGAACATGAGCAGGAAGTACATGAAACATGACATTTTCTCACGTTACTAAGATTTCAGAAACTATATGAAAGTATTGACTAAAATTCTTAGTCATTAATCTATTTGAATTCTCTCTAGGGACACACAGCACTATGTTGGCAATTTCATAAAATGTATAAGTAATTATATACATATAAAAAAATGCAGAAACATAAAAAGAAGTTATGTGTGAGTGAAAGCAGAGATTCATATACAGTCGTGCAAACCCTAATGCCAACCCCACCCCCCCTTATATGCTTAATTATTGTATTCCCTTAAAATGTAGCATAGTTGCTGCACTGTATACATTGATGATACAATTCTGATGTACAGTCATGTATTCCAAGTGAAAATGTAACAGTTTAAATTATATGGTTTTGTAAGAAATAAAATAAAGGTTATAGGGGTTTAATAATACCTTTTAGAGGTGAATTACACTGATTAAGTACAACATTTTTCTCTGAAGATTTACCTGACTACTCAGAGATGATCTTCTTTGCACAGTCTTTTCATGACCAGATAAGCTTTGCCTTGGAGGAGTGCTAGTATCCACTGTCATTTTAGTTGGTGTTGCTGACAATGTTCAGAGTCAAAAGAGAAAGAGACGTTAATAGTAATCTCAATTCTGCAATGCAATAATCAAATCACACGAAGCTTTTAATGAACAAAAAAAAATTAAGGCTTGGACTCTTTTTTTTTACTCTGACTATCCAACAAGAATGCAATCTGATGGACTGAAATAGGGTGTTCCAGGGTCTGCTATTGTACTTTTAGAAGTAGAAATCACTACACAACCTCGGAAAATCTGAGTGCTCAGCAGATCTCTGAACCATCAAAAAGGACATTTTCATTTGCACACTTTTCATACAATGATGATTAACTGCAAGTTATGCATTTAAGTAAATAGAGAAAGACTTCACTAGGAAGGCAATTATATTTTCAACCATTGGTGCTTACATGAATGATCTGATACTGCTGTATGTGAAGATTTTCTTGAACTCCTGGAGGAAGCAGAAGGTGTGGGGCTGGTGTCAAACCTTTCCAGTGCTTCTTTGAGACTCACTGTATTTATGTGATTGTCAGACCCAGAGTCCTGACTCTGAAGAGACACACATGAACAACAATTATTTTATCTGATTCAGCACACAATGTACATTCCTGTTAGCAGATATCTAAGATCATGCCATGTCTAATCAACCCCCTTACACAGGTAACTGCAGAAGTAGTGGCCTGTCTGATATCTATAAGCTCAGTTTCCATTTGTGGCTTTTATCATAGAATCACAGAACAGTCTGGGTTGGAAGGGACCTTAAAGATCATCTACTTCCAATCCCCCTGCCATGGCAGGGTCACTTTCCAATAGTCCAGGTTGCTCAAAGCCTCATCCAGCCTGGCCTTGAACACTTCCAGGGAGGGGGCATCCACAACTTCTTTGGGCAACTTGTTCCAGGAAACAGGTTGGAAAAGAAACCAAACCAATGCCAGATAAGCCTGGAAGTCAAAACACATGCAGACGTAGGCCACAAACTGACTGCTGAGCTGACTCCCTTCTCTAGCAACTCAATTGACTCTGAACACCTGTGCAATGAGTGAACTGTTTATTCTTTTGAGGTAGGACGAGTTCATTCCACTAGAAGGAGCATTATCAGAGAAAACTTGCTGAACTGCCAAGCAAAAACATTTCTGAACTGCCAGGGGAAAACACAGAAGAGCATCTGCACAGATTGGTTTATCTAAGACTCACTAAAGTTCCAAAAGACAGTAACTCAAAATGAATTTTGTATACTTCTAAGAAGTGGGAGAGAGTTATGCAATGGAACAGCTCCTGCTTTCTTCTTGTGAATTCCTTTTAATCCATCTTTGTGCGTTGACGTTGGTTTTTCAGATTATGGGTGCTTCCCATAAGGAATAACATTTATTTACAAACCAAACTCTGCAGGAATCAGATCTTAATAAGGACTTATGGATGTTGCCATGTTATAACTACAGGCACATGGACTCCTGAAAAGAGGAGGCTAAGTGTTCAGGGCAGAATGCAGTTAAACAAACACCCTTCCTAGACTTCTTTGATCATTTTAAATAGTCATATTATTTATCGCTCAAAATAATTACTTTATCTGTAAGAGGACAAAACATTTCCTGCTGCTGTGTATTTGTTTACATATTATCTTTAATGTGAAAGAAAGAAGAGGTAAAATAAAATTATGTGAGACACTCACTTTATCTGCTGTTATCTCTGGAAGAGACTCCTCAATACCAAGTTCCCGTCGTCTTTCTGCTCTAACTTCTGCATAACTAGAAGAACAAACCACATATGACTACTATATTCTTGGATTATTTAAAAAATATACCTCAAAAACCAAACTCCTCAGAGGTATCTTGCTTATCAAGTGTCTCGGGAAGTTTCCAATGATTCTTTAAACTGCCATGATTTCTGTACCTGCAAAAATCCCAGCAGTATAGCTCCCATGCCATTAGAATTTCTCTAATATAAATTTAAAAAAAAATAATTACCTTACAACAGTGTGTGTACAGACAATAAACTCTGGCCTGGAATTCCACTGGTGATACGTGATATAGTAATGTGTTTGTAGCCAAATCCATTGTTGTCCCTTTGTAAGGAATCTGTAGTAACATGACTTCCCTTTCCCATACTGCATTACTATAAAAGTGAAGAATAAATTTTACTGTCTTTCCAGTCTGTAAGTATTGCAACTACATAGTAAATATTATTTCCCAGCTTCATATGGCCCAAACAATGTCCAAATCCAGTATTATGACAATAACCAAGAACAGGTTTCACACTGTAGTTTTCTACCAAAAAAAATGTACACTGCATTTTTCACAGAACTGCAAAATTCAAACTTCCACTTTTGTGCATTTTTTAAAATATTGTGAAAAATTTATGTGCAAAAAATTTAAACACAGCTTTATAAAGAAAAAATACAGCTAAATAGAAAGCTTATTCTATTACATGTTTAAACAATTTTTCACTTATTAACCATCACAGGGCCTTTTAAACATTATTCAAAGAACTGGAGAAGTATTAGTCATAGTGCTGTGCACTCCAATTTACCAATTTACAATGAAAACGCTGTAAGATAAAGTTAAATCTGTTTTGTAGTTCTGTATCAAAAGAAAAAAGATGAACATCAGCAGTGCAGTAATGCCAGTAAAGACACTTCACTCAAATATATCACAAAATTTCACTACAACAGTTGTACAATTTAACAAACTCTAAACCAACATCTATAAAGCAAACCTATTTATTGTAGCAATTTAGTCGTACTCACAATGCTCGTGACATTTTGCCAGATTATCTAGATCATCCACATGATAATAATCATAGCCTGATGTTCCCAAAACTTCAAATGGAAGATAACCTATTATCGGAGGTGCCCTAATTAACACAAAAATTCATGTCATTTTATTTTCACACAAAACAAACAAAAATATTCCATTATATAAGTTTTCTTGTTTACAGTAAGTGCTCGAAAAAAATAACAATTAAACCCAACACAAGCTATGAGTAGTTAATGCTGATTACTGAACTCTAAATATTATAGCCACCGCTGTGATTCAGCTACTATTGCTGCCATACACAGAAGGAATTGCACCTGTGATCCAAGAACAGGAATTTCCATTCTAAGCTATGTCGAGATGTGAACTCTTCATTGGGTTCTTCAACAGTGCACATTTCCTAAAAAGGAAAAAAATAAAAATCTCTATCAAAACTGCTCTATAATAATTCATAAACTCTTTGAAATTAATCAGATTTACTTAAAGTTAGTAGGTAACTCCACTATAATGTTATTTTTAGACAGCTTCATTGTTTTTACTTGTTTAGGTGCATAGTACTGAGGGTAGAATCTAATCTCAGCTGTGCCAGGCTGACACGCAGTTGATTTAAATGGAACCCAGACATGAGATTAAACTCAAACTCAGTAAATACAAACACAGTAGTACAAGGAGAAATCAATAGTTCCTGCAGTTATGCTTTTAACTTGCAATGAGCAAAAGAAGAGATGAAACACTCCCACTAGACACTCTGATTACAATATATGCTTATAATGGATAAAAAACCACATTAGCAAGATGATCAGATTATTTTGAATTTAGGAATAGGATTCTTCCTTTTAGTGAATACAGAGTACTCTAAATCACTTTGGTTTGAGGGCACAGACATGTACTACAAATGACACACTAATCTCATGTTTAGAACTCATGAACAGCAAGAGAAAATTGTATTTCCACTATTACAACAGATCCTTAAGGTATTCTGTTCTGTACATCATTTGAAATGTATGCCACTCAGACATTTGTGCGTGTCAGCTTCTATCGTTCCCTTCCAGAGAGGCAAAGATGTCCCACCCAGTACTGAGCCTTACGCTGAGACAATAGCAAAGCTAAGTACCCCAAGACAGTTGCTTCCTTTGCAAACTCCTCTTGCACTGCCTTCCAAGAAGAAAGATGGATGATGAATATATGCATGCATACAAATACAACCCCTGAAGTATTACAATAAAATTAGAGATCAGTAAATCTTTCTTTTTTGGACACCTGCACACATTTGTCACACTTGTAGGAGCTTGCAATGGTATTCCCATTGCCAGGAACACAGCAGAATCTATTGATTATCAGATACCACAACAGGTTCCTAAAGACTACAGTACAGCTGCTGCACTGACATAATATTCACGACAGATGTGGCCAGACAAGCACACTGCTGCTCTGCAAACATCTGTAACTAAAATAGTCCTGTGGAAAAATACAGTAGGAAATTAACCGTTGTTCCTAAGAAGGAACCACCTTCCTTTTCATTCTTTCAGCTCGTAATACAAAGAGTTTAAGTGGATATTTTTCAGTTCTTTTAATAGATATTTCTAAGTTTTCTTTCTGTGAAAGAAAAAAGTGAACATAACTATTTTTTTCTCACCTTCACCAGTGTAAAATCTAAAGACAATGACTAGAAAGTGAGTCATGTGACGGAGGTAATGAACAAAATCACTCTGGGAACAAGTTTGTGTCTCTTGGTGTAACTTCCAGTTAGCAAGACTTAACCTTCAAAACTGAAACTACCCCTAAAACCCAAAGCTCCTCCACTTTCCTACGATTACAGTATTAAATAAAGCACTACTCATAGCAAAGTAAAATAAATCACAGAGTAAATGTATATCCCTGACATACACATTTGATTTGTTGTTTCTTTTAATCTAATTATTTTGGCACAAGTCAAAACAAAAGAAAAAATAACTGAAGTGCAGGCAGTAGAATCACAGTAAAAACATCATTGTTAAGAGAGGAGCTGGCAGCAGGTTAGTATCTGATTAGTCAATGCATTTATATTAATGATTTACAGATATTACACTGTAAAATACTCTGGGCAGAAGCTATCTTGTTCAACAAGGCATCTTGTTGAAGTTGTCAACAGGGCATCTAGAAAAGAAAGGACTTTGGTTTGTAACAAAAAGTATTCTAGTAGAAACCTTTTGGTTGGATTAATCCTGCCTTCTCGATAGGATTCAATAATTTACCAGCAAAAATGCAAGATAATTTTTTAAAACAATGTGTGGAGCCAAATCCCTTCGCTGGGGAGCAAAATCTGTGGCACATTTTGTTACAAAACAGTCAGTAATGGGGTCACATGCAGAAAATAAAAACGTGAACTTTCGGAGATTACTCTGATTAATAGTATGGCTTTCTGCGAAATCACTGTATATTCTTGAGAAATTACATTCTAGGTAAAAAAAAAAGAAAAGAAAAAGGAAAAAAAAACCCCAAACCCAGAGCCATATACCATCTGAAATAGAAAAAGTGGTAGATGAGCAGGGAGGTTCTACCTTAAAGAAGGCAATACAGCACTAAAATACACTTCTCATTACTGTCTGTGTCATGCATCTGTTAGTAAAGCCACTGGGATGGCGAATTTCCTGACAAAACACTTACTTGCTAAAATCTAGTCAATGCTAGCCTCAATAATAGCAGAAGGTATCAAAAGAGAATAAACAAGCATTGTCAGATTAAAAGGCTTCACTCTAATGTTAGTCCTTTTTAGAAGATTTCTCAGATTAAGAGGACTAGTCAAAACCCTTGAGAGGATCTTAAAACCTTTGTAATATTAACACTTCCTTAGGCACTCGGGGCTCAAAAGTCCAGATAAAGAGGAATGAAATTTGGCCAAAGTATAATCTGTAAGGCTTTCACCCTCAGGAGACTGAGGGTCCTGAAAGATCATAAATGGATGTTCCTCAACTTCCAAATGTCCCGTTCCACAAGTAGGAAACACAGAAGTTTTACTATAGTATCTTCTAAACTATCAGGCTTCAAAAGATAAAGATATTTGCAAATACTGCCAGGTTGGTCTTTTTCCTCAAGTATTTCATGAAGTAAAAAAATCACACATTTAACATCTCTACTGACTGTAGGCATAACAGAAAGAACATTATTTAGACCACATGGGAAGAAAAGTGTCAGATGAAAGACTTCCATGGCTTCAGGAAAAATAAAAAACCAACTCTCTCTGGCATGCAGTCTGGAGAGATCCAATTCCTATTCAGCCTGACAGAGCTGAAGAAGTTTATATGATTTCTCCACAGGCTCCCTGCTATGCTTTCAAAGTTCAAAGTATATAGATGATGTCTTCAGAGGCTACCACGAACAATCTTCAGCTTAAGATACCAGTGCATTCGACTTTTACAAGCAGAAGTCTTAAATGGTCAGAGTTCTGCATGACAGACAGCAGCTTAACCATGTGCCATATACATTTCATGGTATTTCTTTACAACTAAATTGCAAGAACAAAGGTTAGATAGTACACTACCCTGTATCTTGATTAATATATTTGTATAAAACACATAATCTGAAACACAATCACAGACTACCCTGTATTGTATCCTGTGTATTTATTTTAACTGATTTTGGTGGGGAACAGGATTATACTTAGTAAACCATAAATTTCATACAAATCCAATTCTAAAATTGGAAAGATACCTTCATTGTACATTAGCAGTTAAGCAAAACGTTCTCTTTAAACAATCAAGTTACTGAATAACTAAAAGTACTGAAACAAAAGAGTTCTATTACCTCAAACCCATCTCTCAGTTACTGACAACTAACTTTCATTAAGCCCTACCAGATTTGCTTCTGTGCCAAACTACAGCAAGATCATCAGCAACATAAAATTCACATCCAATTTTCAACAAAAACTATTAATTTATCCAGTGAAAGTGGAATCTCAGGGTTACCTTTCATTCTGTTTAAGTAAAACTTGCTAAATTATATTCCTATGGACTTCTTCTAAATTTATTTCTTGCATATTACTGTTTAGAATCACAGAATGGCTTGGGTTGGAAAGGACCTTAAAGATCATTTAGTTCCAACCCCCCTGCTGTGGAGAGCATTGGATTTTAATAAATTTAAATCAAATGACAGAGTCATTTTATATGACTCTTTAATGGCATTCACCATAACAACTTCATTTGATGCTTTGCATAATACTTAACCTATTTCTGTGTGAAGTAAGAAACACAGACACTTTCAGTTTCATATAATAAAATTCCTTACAGTTTTCATTAATGGTATTTGAAACGTTGCTTGCATTCTCCCTGAAGTTTTCCTGTTTATAGTAAATTTAAAAATTATACAAAAGTGATTTCATTTGTACATACCTTGATAAACTGGGGTGTAGCTAATCTAACTGTGGCTACAAAGCAAACTTTATCTTCATATGAAGGCCGGTGCGATCGCTGAATAGTTCCTTCAAAACCGTTGTGCGCAGAGTTGGGAACTGAGGGAAGATAGCGAAGAGATCAACACCGATTACAATAGAAACGTGGAGGAAAATGGCAGTCATAGCACAAGACAAATGGCCCAATATTTATCTAATGTGGTTTGCTTATAACTTAACATGCATTAACAAAAATACAATATATAATATATACACACATATACACAGGAAGAGCAGCTGCACAGTAGTAATGGGAACACAACCATCAAGTAACTTTCTCAAAGAACTAAAATTAGAGCTAACATTATATTATCTGACAAAGCAGTTTTAAGAAACTCTGGGTTAGAACTTCTACTGAAGTTTCTTCATGTAATTTAACCTTACAGCTCCTTTCTTTCCATCAGGAAAAAAACAGGCAATTTCCTTCCTCTTTATCTTATCCCTTCTCCTTTGTTCTTCAAAGTTTATCTTGCCTCGTAAGTTAGATTTTGAAATTTCTAATTGCTTTCATTGCTCTACTCTGAACTCTTTCCAACTGCTTTACTTACTCCTGACAAGCAGCGTCAAAAACTGGATGAGGACCTATGGGTAGTAAGAAGTGCAGAGGGATTATGTCATGTGGGTTAGACTATATTTTAGAAATACTTTTGCATTTTCACACTTTGGTGATTGGTCATGGTGATTTGGTCATGTTCAGTTTACATTCCACAGTAACTCCTTTTTCTAAAGGACTGCTGTCTAGCTGACTGTAACATCTCCCCCTGTTCAAATAGTTATTCCTAATGTAGTAACTTGTGTATGTTCTTAGTTGATTTGTCTGGTTTTTTTCCCCCAAATTATTTATTTTCTAAATCTGGAGCTGAATTCTTATCCTGTTTTTAGTGTTCTTGCATAATTTCATGACTGAAAACTATGTTCCATTATTCATAACATTAATGAAAATACTGATCAAATCCAGAAGTCCATTAAAACTCCATTTTGATAGTGAACATTGTTAAGCTTTCCAAAGCTTTCTGCAGCTACTCCAGCAATTTCAATTAACATGTTCTTCCCTTACATGTTTGTGAGAACAGAATATGCTAACTGTCAAAAGCATATTAAGTCCATCATTTATTTGCGCTTTGTCCTCTTATCCACACAGTGTATTACTCTTTGGCAGAGGAAACTAAATTGATTTGATGCTATTTCTACCTGAAAAATCCACAATGGTTGCTATTCAATTCCTTGCTAGCTTCCTGAAGCTCACATATAGTTTTATTATGTGTTCTGGAATATTTCCCAACATTGAACTGCAATTGACAGGTCTACAGTTTCCCAACTGCTTCTCTTTCGAAGATTAGCACCATATTTGTTTTTTTCATGCCTGTTTCTTGTCTTTCCTATAACATCATATACCTGCATTTGGCACTAACACTCAAACTCTCCCCATTTTGTGAGAAAAATGTTGGTATCACATAAAAAAACATAAGTTTCTTTACAAGATACTGTTTTTAATAATATTTTGGCGGGTGATCTTAATGAAGATCTACTGTCCACACTGCACAACACATTTGTCTGGCTGACCAAATAAACATCCCTCTCAAGTAAACAGTCAGCATGGGCTCACCAAACAGATTAGAGATGTAGTACAGAGGAATAATATTAGTACATAACTAAGGAAAATAACTTCAATGGAAGGGAGAAGGAACTCAGTGCAGAAAAATGTAATGGTCCATCCATTCATCTGAGTGGTAACTCTTGTCAGTGAAAGCACGGAATTGAATTGGGGGAAAACCTACATTTTACTTCCCAGCTCAGTGCATAATGAGGACTGCAGGTACTCAGTACCACTGATCTTCAAGATACTCAGTCACCTGTTTAAGTATGGATTATGCTTAACTAAATTCAGGCTATTTATTTAAAAGCATTTGCTTAAATTTCTCTTACATTCTTTAAAAAAATGTTTTACAAAATACTAGTTTTCTTTAATTGAAAACATTAAGCATAATTACTACATTTTGCATTCAAGCACATAGGCATGTAATACCTGATCGGCAGTTTTTCTTCTTTTTCATTAAAACAATACAGAAGTGATATAACTCTGCCTCAAGCTCTTTTGAAAGACTGATTTCAGTTCAACATTAAGTTTTGCACAATGGTCCCAAGCCTGTTTAGCTGTGAAGCTGCCTAAGTATTCCACTCTAACATCACTGAAATTACTTACCATTATTCAAACACTTGAAATTTCCTATAAATTTTACATATTCATATGTAGGTTGCTCTTTTGGATCTATTGTTCCTCGCAGCATATGGCAGCAGAATTCTAGTTGATTTTTTGCTGAGAAAAGAGTAAACAAATTAAAAGGCTACATGCTTGATGAAGCTCATAGGTAACATGGAATGGAAAGCAGGAATAATGAAGCTGCATAATTATTGAGACACTGTAAATGTTGTCATTACAAATGGCTACAGCCTCTGCTTTTAACCAGCATGATACTAACTAACCTAAAGAAAAGGAGAAATCCTTTTGAATTTGTGCATGAAAGGCCTGAATGCTTATGACACAGAAATCCCCTGAAAACTAGAGCTATTTTAAAGAATCAGCTGCCCTAAACTGGAGTTCCCTAAAGCATACACTTCCTAAACCCATTAGGCTTTTAAATATGTTTTTATTCTTGCCAACTGCTACAACTGTCTAAATAGAAGCTATATAAACAAGATGAACATTTCTACTACTTGGGAAAGCCATAGAGTGAAAAGCAATGCAACACTGAAAATTTTACTCTCTGGAGGGAACCACAAAAAAATGCTTCTATTCTTCAGGGTTCACTCATATGTTTCTGCTTGGGGTGGAAGAAAAGAACTGATAATGTGATAGAAAGCAGATTATTTTTAACACAACTACTGTACTGGTTTCATCTGGGATAGAGTTAATTTTCTTCATAGTAGCTCATATGGTGCTGTGTTTTGCATTTGTTACTCAAACAGCACTGACAACACAGGGATGTTTTATCTACTGCTGAGCAGTGCTCACACAGTGCAAAGGCCTTTTCTGTTTCTCACAGTGCCCCACCAGCGAGTAGGCTGGGGGTGCACAAGGAGCTGGGAGGGGATGCAGCTGGGACAGCTGACCTAAGGGATATCCCATACCACATCACATCATGCTCAGCAATAAAAGTTGAGGAAAGAAGAAGGAAGGGGGAGAAGAAGGTTTGTCTTCCCAAGTAACCATTACAGATAATGAAGCTCTGCTTTCCTGGAGATGGCTAAACACCTGCCTGCTGACAGAAAGCAGCAAATTAATTCCTTATTTTGCTTATCTTATACACAAAGCTTTTGCTTCACTTATTAAACTGTCTCTATCTCAACCCACAAGTTTTCTCACTTTTACTCTTCTGATTTTTTCCCCATCCCACTGGGAGGAGCAAGCAAGAGGCTGCCTGGGGCTGCGCTGCCAACCGGGATTAACTCAGAGTAACTACTTACATTTTAAGTATTCTGGTGTCAAGGAATCACTTTCCAGCAGATGAGAAGACAGTATTTTGTAAATTTCTGAATGTTCGCCCTCTGGGATAAAATTAAATACACTCTGATCCGCAAGATCAGACTGAAAGAAAAAGATTTAATAAACATTAAAATAATGCAAAATGTACAGTCTCACAAAGCCTACTGTTTTAATGCAAAACAATTCCACAAATGAGTAAACATTGCTGACTCAACAAAGCCACCTGCTGGAATACACATGACTGTTTTGCAAGAAAAAGATCTGTCTTAATTTTGACATTGCAAACCATTTAATGGAAAACACCATGAATGCAGCAGATATACATACACATTAAAGTACAACAGAGCTTGGGATGCAACAATTCCAAGTAAAAGAGCCTTTTAATTAAAAATTATAAGGTGTTCTTCTAGGGCATTGTAACCCATCAGTGGCCTCCAATACACTGAAACGGTATCTTGGAACAGAAGACAGTCCCTCCCTACATCATATATTATTATGTTACCAATAATTATATCCAATTGCAATTTATTTTATTAATAAATTTATAATCAGTTCAGCAGCTATGTACACAAAACTGGGAACAACAGCGATGAAAGCATTTAAATTGAACAAGTGAACAACTGATTACATGTATAAATGCATTTGTTTAATTATTCAGAAAAGAATTATTAGAATATATAAATTATATATTAGAATATATAAATCACACTCAAAAGCAAAGGACAAACGTGCCTCTGAAAACTTGATAAATTCTACTTTTAAAAAAAAACCAAAAACACCATTACTCATACATTTTTTCAAAATTCTTGAGCTGTTATCATGCATACCATAATGGAATTCCTGTTTTGCAGAATCACTTTTTAAATACACCAGTCCAAGTTTTACAAAATACTCTTACCACAGTGAAACAACTAAACTGTAACAATAACTTGTTCCTCTCTGCCAAAAAATAACTCATTGTTTCACTCATCAGTTGTTTGTATTTTTGAGTACTAATTTGCCTCATTTAAAAAATCATTATTCAATGGTGTCTTTAAAAAACTAGTGACCAATGCCACCAAGATTAAAGGTGAGTGAGTGTGATAAAACCTAAAGTATACACCTAGCTTAAAAAGCAGGATCAGCAGCAATGTCTTTCTTATAACAGTTCTTTGGCAAGAAAGGAGTAAAAAACCAGTTTAAAATAATTCCAAGGATATAGCTCTTTAGCAATACTCAGTTCTGACTCATGTAGGAACTGTGATACTCTAAAAAGTCTCCTGCAGTCAACTGTGTTACTTTAGTTATGTTAAAGAGAAACTAATGCTAGTCTGGCACTTCATAATTCCGCCTAACAGAGTGCCCACTGCATTCCGTATTTCCAAAGGAAAGGTTTAATATAGGAGCCAGATCAGC